GTAAAAAGCAAGCTGTTAGTAGAATGGAAACCTCTTGAGGGTATCATTAAGCTCAACTTTGATGGTAGCAGCCTAGGCAATCTGGGACCCTCCAGTATTGGGGGAGTGTTTAGAAATGCAGAGAGGCTCATCATCGCTCTTTTTTTCTGGCCCTATAGGAGTAGGGGATTCAGATAATGCAGAAATTCAGGCAGTGTTACAAGGAGCTGAATTTGCCAAAGAACTGAACTGTGGACAGCTCTTAATTGAAGGTGATTCAAAGCTGGTGATCCAGTGGTTAAAAGAGCCAGAAACAACAGCCTGGTCCTATAAAGGGATTTTTCGAAGATTCAGATGGCTAACTACAAACATGTCTGTCCATTTCCAATGGGAAAGAAGATCTRCAAATGGATTAGCAGACTCACTAGCTAAACAAGGAGTGCATAGGAATCAGATGTTTTGGGCTAAGCTGTAATTCTCTGTTCTGATTTGATGCTGCATTTTGCGCCTCTTTTTGGGAACCTTATCTGTGTATCTTTATAATTCTATTAATAGAACTTCTCATTATCATCAAAAAATGTATTAATTTAGAAGAAGATTTGAGGGCTTTGGTTAGTTTTTGGAACCTAGTATTGGAAGGGATTGAGATAAGGCTTATTGTGGAAATTTTTTGGGTGGGGGGAGATTAACCTTGATTGAATCTACTATAGTTAACCTCCTAGTTTATTTCATGTTAGTTTTTAGGATGCCTTAGGTAGTCATGAAAAGAACCAAGAAGCTACTGGGGGATTTTCTTTTGGAATCAGGGGAAGGGAAGAAAAATCACTTGGTGAGATTGGAAATAGTGGTCAAAAGGAAGGAAGAAGGGGGATTGGGAATTGGCAATGTAAGTTTGAAAAACTTGGCTCTCTTGAACATGTGTTGGTGCTTTCCTGTAGCAAATGAGAGCTTGTGGCACAAAGTGGTGGCTGGTATTCATGAGCTATCAAGGAATGGAAGCTATAMATGGTATCCTTTCCAGCTTCCTTAATCATGTGAGATATGATTCGGCTTCTGGCAATAAGATAGATTCTGGGAAGATGTATGGATAGGGGAAACCTCTTTGAAAGATGCTTTTGCTCCCTCTTTGCTCTTTCCACTTTTAAAGGAAGACTTGTTGCTGATTTCCTCCAACCTCATCCTTTTTCTTTAGGGCTGAATTGAAAATTGAGCTTTACCAGAAATCTTAGAGTCTGAAGCCCCCTTTGCATTTAACTTGTTGAACGTTTTGGGATTTGTCATCTTTGATGATGAGAGGAGAGATACCGAGTTTGGTCCCTTAATCCTATAGGGATTTTCTCCTATAACTCCATTTTTAATTCCCTTGTAACCACTTCCTCTCCCCCTCCTTCCCTGTTAAAGAAATTTGGTGCTTCCCTATCCCCCTAAAGGTTAGTACTATATGCTAGGAGTATTCCATGGTTTCTTTTACACTTGTGATTTGTTACAGAGGGAAAGATAAAATTGGTCCTTATCCCCCAATTAGTGTTGCTTATGCAAGTTGAATGGTGAGATTGTTTTTCATCTCTTAATCTCCTGTCCCTTTGTTTGCTGTATCTGGGAATGTTTTTTTTTCCTCTTTTTGTCTATAGGTGGGACCCTCCTGCCAATTTGGAGTGGTTGTTTATTCCTTCTTCTATTTTGAGAAGCACAAGAAAGGAGGGGCAGGCTTCTATGGAGATGTATAAGAGTAGCGGTGGTCTGGACAATTTGGGAAGAAAGAAACACAACAATTTTTTGGGAGAAGGAGAGTAGGGAGACAGTTATAGAGATCCTAACTCTAAGAGTTGCACATTGGTTTGAGACCTTGACACTCTTTTCGGAATTCAAGGTGGAGGATTTCTTCAGGAGTTGGGGGGCCTCTAGGAAACAAAAAATTCTAGAGGTTTGGTCACCCCCTGTGGGTGGTTGGATGAAACTGAATTGTAATGGCAGCAAAGTGGGCAATCTAGGCCCCTCAGGCATTGGAGGGGTGATTAGGGATGAGAGTGATGCTATCTATGCCTTGTTYTCATTAGGACTAATTAAACAAGGTGATTCTACTGATAAAAAAAGAGCAAGGTGATTTGGTAAGCGAGAAATCTGGTGCAAACCAATCCCTCCTAAAGTGCAAGATCTTAATTGGGGAATGTTTCTTGGAAAGATTAAGTAACTTGGATCTTGGAGAAGCAAGCTGGGGATTTCCAAGTGGCTCTAAGGTGGAGAAGGGAGGTGGAAATCGAAGCAAAAACTTTTGTACTTGAGGAAGTAACAAACAGTGGAATAGCAGCGCTGAAGATCTGGGAAGACAAAAGAGCTTCTATTTTGTTAGTAGGAGAAGCCATCTGCTGGCTGAAAGGTTTTGTTAATGGAACAATGCACTCTGTTAAGAAACCAGGTTGGAAAAGCTCCTTTGGTCTACTGTTAAGAAGSATGGTTTGTAGCTATTACAGAGTACTTTGGGGATAACAGAAAGTTTTTGATTTGCGTTCCAGAGGGCAAGGAGAGAAGAGGCTGGATGGTTTTTGTGGATAGTTTACAGGAGTTGTTGATGAGACAGGAGGAAAGTCAGCAGAAGACAAAAGGGGTTTACTGTGAAGAAGTGAGAGAGACATCTGAATCACATCTCACTACGGAATAATCAAAGGGAGAAAAATTTGAAAGTATGAGCTCGAAGCTTGTTTTAGTGAGTTCAAGCGGAAGCAAAAAATTGTTCTTGAACTAGGAGAAAGGAGCTTGGAGGCAGCGGCTGGTTCTTACAGCAGCAAGAGATGTTACAAATTGAGGGAGGATCCTGGAGAGTATCATGAAAAGGCTCACATTCAAGCACCTTGTTTCTGTTATTCCTTTTGGGGAAGAGAGGCCTGTAATATCGAATAATGAGTTGGTGGAGACCTTGGATGGTTCGGTGGTGATTGAACATTGGCACTTATCCTGTAACCGGATGGAGGTTTCTCATGAGAGCCTCATTTTATAATTATTAGGGCTTTTGTTCAATCTCTAGAACGGAGTTTCCCTAGACAGAATTGTTAAGACTTTGGGAGGAAATCTTATTAAATATAATCTTGATTTCAAGGTGGTGAATATTCAAATCTTGGGGTTGAAGCCAAGTGATGTTCCTCGAGCCATTGATCTTTTCTCTAATGGTTTATGGTTGAAAGTTTGGTGCTTGACAGAATCTGAAGCGTCTTTGTGGAAGAACTCGAAGGTTGAAGACGATAGCTTATTGGTGGGATGAGTGACACACATGGAGAAGGAAGTTTGGGGGAGGTGAAAAGGTTGGAGGGGCAAGCATTAAGGGTAACTGAAAAGTCACTCATAAAAGGTTTTTCAGGGACTCTACCCGAAAAGGAAAATAGTTCAAATTGTTTTGATTTCAGAGAAAGGAAAGAGGGTAGCAATTCATTTTTAGAAGATTTACAATTTGAGGCCATGTCAGATACGAGTTTCGGTCCACTTAATAAAGAAGAGGAGTAGGCTRGGCCATGGACTCCTAAACTGATTGTGATAGGGGAGAACCATGTTTTTGGACCAAGCCGTGTAGATGGACCAAGCAAGAAGGGATCACATGGGGCTTTAAGTGGTCAGGCGAGTCAAGAACCCGATTTATTGTGTAGGCCGCTGGCCACTAGAGGATGGTAGTCTTTGTCCATTGTCTTCCCCAACTATTATTTTTGAGCACCGATTTGAAGAGGGATTCTGCGCAATGCCGTCCGAAGGATGATTCTCAAGGTTCCCATTTTATTCCATCAGAAATGTTTTGGCTTTACCCCAGGGGTGGACAACTGGTGAGGGTGGGTACAACTAAAATGCTAAGGACAAAAAAGGTGATAAGTTTTAAAAACTGCTATCCTTCTCTCTTAAAGGAAAAAGGAAGGAAGAGATTTGTGAGTGGGTGATTACTAAGTTTGTTCGTTTTGGTGATTTGTGTGAGTCAAAGTGCTTGAAGAATGTGGCATCTTCAGAAAAGATCGACTCCTAAGCACTCCTATTGGCTACTGAAAATGACACTCCACAAGGAAGGGCTACTGATAGGATTAGATATGTATCCTTTGAGAAAGGCTCTCACGTTGCCTTGTATGAGGTAAAGTAAGGAAGTGAAAATGCTTTAGATGTTTAGTTGTTGTCAGTTAAAGAGGTGGTGGGTCAACACTTTAAGCTTAGTAATAAGGGGGCCGTGGATGATCATATCGTTTGGAGAGAGCTGAGGTGGGAGATAATGCTGAGGAGGAAGTGATAAAAGAAAGAACTTTGATTTCAATTCTTTAAAGAGTAGCTTTTGTTCCAATGAGATTGATGGCAGGGAGCTGGGCAAGGAGTTGGACGTCAGTACCCGATGTTGGAGTTGAAAGTGAAGTTGAAATGGGAGGTGAGGAAATTTTAGGTGATAGTGAAGGGTCTGGAAACCAGGTTGAAAGCTACAYCGAGGATATCTGACACTATGAGGAGGTGAAGATCGGAAGGTTGGGCATTGTCTTAGGTTGAAGGAGCAAACCTGAAGAGGAGGGGGAACGGATTAATGAGATAATCAGCAAGGAACTACGTAGTTCGAGAAATCATAATATTGTGCATGTGACAAAGATATTCTCTAGGCTAAAACTCGGCTTGGCAGGAGCAAGACCTACAAAAAGTACAAATGGGTTTACAGGAGGAAAAGAACGAGAGACAGTAGGGGTATTGACCATGGGGGGGGCATCGGGGCAGGTTTAGTCATCAACCCCCTTTTTCTGAATGAGCAATAAGTAAACAAATCGAGTGGTGTTGATGTTGAGTTTGTTGTGAGGCAGTTGCCGTAGAATAATAACAGTATTAATGGGGAATCAGGTGGGGTGACCCTCCGAAAAATAATGGATAGAGAGGTGTTGAAGGAATTTTTTAAATCCAAATAATATTTAAATAATTTATAGCCCAGATAAGTGGGTTGGCTAGTGTGCTAGCCAAATCATCAAAACTAAATAAGGTGTCTTGAATGGGAGTTCCCTCTCTTTAAGTGGGAGGGACAGGTGTCCTTCACCTAGGGGGAGGGGGTAGTTGCATAACTACCCCACTCCCTATTTAAGCTCCTTAAGGGAGAAGCTAGAGGCGGAGAAAATTGTGTCTCAGTAGATGCTTAAGAAAAGCCAAGAAAGAGAGAAGAAAAGAGAAGTTCTCAAGGGAAGCCGAGGAAGGAAAAGAAATCTCACTAATACAGGTAGGAAAAGGAAAATCCTYTCCGTGAATACTTCCTTTATATGTCTTCTACTATGTATCTTTATTCCTCTCTCTTTTATTTTTACTTTTAAGAAGGGAAATAGAGGGAAATAAACCATCTACTACCAGGTGCTTTTACTTGGTTGATTATGGCCCAAGACAAGTTAGGGGTTAAACCATCTACAGTCTAATTCCTAAGGACTGATTATGGTTTCCTTCAAATGAAAATGAAGAACAGAGGAATAAAAACCGTATACAATCAAATATTCAACTCGATTAACTACAATTCCCTTCTTGTATACAAAATCCAGAGGATTAAGGCTGTCTACAGTCAGAATTTTATCTGATTGACTACAGCTTATTGTGAAGGAAGGAGTGAGAAGGAAATCTTCTTTGTATAAAAAAGTAAAGAAAGAGAGAGGTGTATTGTTGTAGAGTTTCTCGATTGTAAAGAAATGCAAATGAAAAGTTCTTTTTTTTT